AGGGTGAATGTTAACGAAATAGCGAATGAGATAGGATGGAGTTATTTTTCCGAGTTTCAGGGCATAGTCAGACTACACAAAGAATAGTCTCTTTTCCAAAACTCGAAAATTTGGATCCGCTACGTGGGCAATCGTTTTGTTATCATTGAAAAGGATGAACTAGAAAATACTTACAGTTTGGTCAACATTTCCAACGACAACAAATTTACAATGGAGTCAAACAACCAGCTGTCATTCCTGAATATTTCAGTTAGTAGAACCAATCCGGGGAAATCGGAAACCCAAGTATACAGAAAGTCGACTGATCGAACCCTCAACTACAGTAACAAAAACACACAAAAGTAGTTGCATGGAGACTATTTAAAAGAGCAGGAACACACAGCAGTGCAAAAACGTCATGAAGTAACGAAGGTGATCACTTAACGTCTATCCTAAAAGAGAATGGTTATCAATGCAACTTCATAAGAGGATGCCTATCCAACTCAACTACAAAGTCATGCACGGGAATCAGCGAACGGACCATCCTACCATATAGATGAAGAACACATCAGAGATCACGACGACGCTACTGAGACCATTTAGAATTGATGTGGCTTACAAACCGATAAAGTCTCTTCAATTCATATTGAGACCAAGAAACAAACTAAATATCACTTACGTAATCAACTACAATCAGCAGTGCATTGGACTAGTGTTCGACCTGTTCGCCTTCGTCTATGTCAACATTAGCTGGCAAACGTTACGAAATTTCGTCTCTGATATCAATGTATGTAGAAAGCTATGAACATAAATTTAGTTTTGAAAATGTAGAAATCTCGGACAAAGGAAACACAGAATGTCAGGATTCCTAGAAGCTTGCCACTCTGGTCAGTCGATAGTTGACAGACGTATAGACAGACCCAATCTATCGACTAATAAGAAAAAATGACAAGCAACTACGAGGTTAAGCAGAGAAATGGCAGTAGCACAACAACCAGGAAAACTAACTAACTTGAAAAGACATGAAGGCTTCGTAATTACACCACGCAGCTCAGAAGACGTGACAGCCGAAATGTATCACTTACCCTTAATTCTCCTTCTTGTCATACACTTTCATCTAATCCAATGTCCCTTTTTCCTTGGATGCTGTCATGAGATGTGGCCGTTTTGGACCGATGCACTTCTGTGAGGTTCTACATTGATTCTGTGTC